ATCTTGCTAACACTAAAAGGCCTGATATAGCTTTTGCTGTTAACTTGTTAGCAAGGTATATTTATGCTCCTACTAGGAGACATTGGAATGTGATCAAACATATTTTGCGATATCTTAAAGGGACAACTGATATGGGCTTATTTTATTCTGTTAATTGTAGCCCAAATCTTGTTGGTTATGCTGATGCAGGATATTTATCTGATCCACACAAAGCTCGATCCCAAACAGGCTATGTGTTTATATGTGGGGGGACTGCTATATCTTGGAGATCTACAAAGCAGTCCATCGTAGCCACTTCATCTAATCATGCTGAAATAATAGCTATTCATAAAGCAAGTAGAGAATGTGTGTGGTTAAGGTCTATGATACATCTCATTCGAGAGAAATGTGGTTTGAAATGTGATAAAGTACCCACCACTTTATATGAAGATAATGCAGCATGCATAGCACAACTTAAGGGAGGATTCATAAAAGGAGATAGAACAAAGCACATTTCACCGAAGCTTTTCTATACACATGAACTTCAAAAGAATGGTGATATAAATGTGCAACAGATTCGTTCAAGTGACAATGTGGCTGATCTATTTACCAAGTCTCTACCAACTGCAACTTTCAAGAAGATGGTGCACAAGCTTGGAATGCGAAGATTCAAGTCTCTGGATTAATGTTCTCTCATTAGGGGGAGTGAATACGCGCTGTACTCTTTTTCCCTTACGAGGTTTTGTCCCACTGGGTTTTCCTTGTAAGGTTTTTAATGAGGTAGCCTAGATGCGTATTAATAGATATGTGTACTCTTTTTCTTTACTAGAGTTTTTCTTTTCTTAAAGTTTTTTTTAGTAAGGTTTTTGACGAGGCACATCATCTATGAATTAGACATTCAGGGGGAGTGTTATAAAGTATTTGTATTATAGTGAATGTCTATCATGTGGAGTCCTTTTTAGGATATGATTAAAGAGTCCTCCTACTTGGGGACCAAGTTAGATTTCTCCTATAAATAGAGTGCTCCTCTTCATTGTAAATTGATTCATCAAGAGAAATAACAAGTATTCTCTTCTTTTCTCTCTAGCTTTTTCTTCTTATTTAATAGTTTTATAACAACTATATATTTGTTAGATTTTTCTTCTCTTGCCTCTTTTTTTCTCTCAGCTTTTTAATTCTTCTCTCTTTCTCTTGCTCCTTTCTTTTTGTATATCTTTCTCTCTTACTTTTTTATTTTTTTATTTTTTGCTTTCTCTTTGTTGATGCGCTCTCTCTCTCTCTCTCTTTGTTTTTTCCTTTTGTTTCTCATAGAATGAATAAAACTTGTATCAATAATGAATTAATTTAACAAATAATTTAATCCCAACAAATAAAGAGATATAACAAATTGCAAAATGAATTAAACTTCAACTAAAATGCAATTACACACATATCAAAGTTGAATTAAAAATGTATTACACACAATGATCTATAAAGTAAATTAAAATTGTATTAATAATGAATTAAACAAGTAATTCAATAATAACAAATAAATCAAAAAATTGCAAAATAAATTTTATTGCCTTAAATTATATTACACAATATTAAAGTTGAACTGGAAGAGGGAATTAAGAATGAACAAAATACGTAACTAACAAAAGACAAGTGAACGATCTATAAACTAAATTAAATTCATATTATTCATGAATAAAACTTATACCATATGTATCTTATAAATTATTTTTGCTTTTATCACTAAGAAAATGAGTGATGGTTGCAATATGTATTAAAAATCTATTGTGCATGTCTTATAAATGTATTATTAGTGTGTTACATAAATTATTCTTGTTGGTTACCATAGAAAAAAAATGAAGTGTGCAATACATATTATAAATGTATTGTTCAAAAATAAAATATGTATTATATGTGTCTTATAAATTATTTTTTATTTGTATCACTAAGAATGTGAGTGATGTTTGCAATATGTATTAAAATGAATTGTACATGTATTATAAGTGTGTTACCTAAATCATTTTAGTTGATATCATTAAAAAGGGAGTGAAGTTTGCAATATGTACTATAAATGTAGGATGTATTGTTCACGATTTTAATACAATTTTAATACAATTATAAAACATATCTAATACAACTTTAATACAAATCTGATATAATTTCGTAAACTTCATCCTTCTCGAGCTTCAATCTGATAATTTTCCTAAAATCAATTCTAAAGTTAATCAAATCCTCTTAAAATTGAGATATAAACTCTAAACGATATTTTTAACTATTTGTAGGAACTGGCTATCCAAACTAATCGCAATCGAAAGAACAATCAATGATTCGTAAAATAAATAAAACTTGTATCAATAATTAATTAGATAAGTAATCTAATTGTAACAAATGAAGAAACATAATAAACTGTCAAATGAATTAAACTTGAATAAAAAATGTATTACATACATTTTAAAGTTGAATTAGAAGTGAAAATTAACAATAAATGAAAAATATAACTAACAAAAGACAAGACAATAATCTATTGACATAATTAAACCTGTATTATTCATAGATAAAATATGTATAATACGTGTCTTATAAATTATATTAGTTTGTATCACCAAGAACATGAGTGATGTTTGCAATATGTATTACAAATGTATTGTGCAGATGTTATAAATATATTACAAGTGTGTTACTTAAATTATTTTAATTGATATCACGAAAAAAGGAGTGAAGTTTGTATTCTATTATGAATGTATTGTTCGTGAATTTAATACAATTTTAGTGCAAATGAAACATATGTAATACAACTTTAATACAATCGCGATATCGTTCCATAAACCTCACCTTTTTCAAGTTTCAATCTAATATTTCTCCTAAAATCAATTATAAACTAAACCAAACCCTCTTAAAATTGTGCTATAAATTTCAAACGACATTTTCAATTACTTGTAAAAATAATCTATCCAAACTAATCACAAATTCGTAAAATTCCAGTAATTAATTCAAAATTTGAATCTTTATAATGATCATCAATATTAAACTCTTGTTTCTATACTTTTAAAGATTTGAAATTTTTTATGTAAGAACATGATATTGTACATTTTTTTTTGTTTTTTCTGTTTCTTCTTGTCGCGTTTTTGGATATAACTAGTGAAATATAAACAAAAACCGATTTAAAATAATTATTTAAATAAAAAAATTTAAAAAAAGAAAAGAAAAGAAGAAGAATAAAAAAAAGAGAAAGGATGATACAGGAAGAGACAACGAAGAAGAAAAAAAAAGAAGAGAAAAAAGAGACAGAGAAAGAGGCGAAGGTAGATATGCAGTACAATTTTTTATTTTTAAAAAAATTGTTATACTTGATTTAAAAAATTATATTGACATAAATGGTAAATATTTTTTAATATTACATATTTATATGATTTACCCATAATTTTAGTGTATTTGATTGCTAGGTTTAATCGAGCCTTAGTGGGTCAAATTATTGATTTATAAAGTTTGATTAATATTTAACTCAAAATTAAATGACTTAATATAGTCTAAATTACATTTAAATCACTCTGTTAAGTTAAAAAGATGATTTCAATTCATGCTCTTCAAGCCCAAAATCCTCTAAAATTACTTGGAGATCAAAATACTGTCTTCATCTCCAAGTTGTGAGCCACAAGTTTCTATACTTCCACGATTGTGATCAAAGCTTTGTTACACTTTTTGTAGTGAAGTTTCAACAAGTAATTGATCGGTTCAAGAAGAAAGTAAAACTCTTGAGCGGACAATTATGATGAAAAAAATAAAGGATTATATCTTTTTCATAAATTTTATAAAGATTACAACCTCACATAAATTATTTTATACCACAACAACGCTTATAATCTTTGATTAACAAAGTTTCCCCGACCACCATGCCTAAGAAAATTAGGGACAGAAGTAAGGATATCAGTGGATACCAATTCTCCACTTTCATGTTTCTAGCCACTAAAAAATTTATACTTTATATAATTTAGATATTTTAAACAGTTATATTCTATGCCATTGGGAGAGAAAAATCCAGTTTTTTGGATTGAGTGCTTTAGAACTAACCAAAGAACACTTAGAGGATAAAAAGGGTCATTTTTTTTGTGACATACCCAACACTACCAAAATAGATTTAATGCTGCTTCTACCACATATTAGTATGTAAGAGATGATATCTCAAACATAATATTATAACATGCCTCGATAAAATATGTGATCTAAATAAGATTTTTGACATACCAAACATGGTCCAAAATAATTAGTGGACATTTTCTTTAATTTTTTTAGTTTAGAAAGAAGACATAAATTGCACTTGAAATTGTTTTGAATTTTTTTAAAAATTATTTTTAACTATGCAAACTTCATGTTACCCCACAAAAGTAATTAATATCTTTGTAAATATGGTGGCAATAAGAAGTTGTTCCCACAAAACGCCATTGTTGTATATTGCACTAGAGTTTTCTGAGTCAATTTACTCGATCTAAGGAGTAAAATTATGAAGTGGATTGATGAATTTGAGTAAGAATTTTGTGGGTTGTTTGATTAAAGATTAGAACTTTGAAGGAGAATTTTGGTGATTTTTCTATTTTTAAGCATTACCAAGAGTTTTTGTTTTTTGAAACTATTGGGGTTAACCCACTTTTCAAATTAAATCAATTAATTAATTAAAATGGGTGAGAATCACACACTTGTTTGTAGATAAGAAAATGAGTCAAAATACTCTGTTTATAAAGGTATTTAATATTTTTGTGAAGTAAAAAGATACCCATATAGTTAAGATATATTTTTGACAATTTGAAATAACTTCATGTATCATTTTATATTTTTTCTTTTTAGTTTATATATTCATATTATGCTCCGCATTGATCAGTAAAATGCATTCTTGTGGATTAATGTGAAGAAATGATTTTATTATAACTTGTTGATCGATAGACATTACAATTGCACAAGAATGAGTCACCTAAAGGCTTGTCCTCAAACTGCTTAACTTGATATCCAATGATGTTCATCATAAAATTTAGCTATGATTAACAAAGTGATCCAATTGTATTGTATACTTTTATTGAGAAAACAAAAAAGAAAGATCTTCTATCTAGCCATCATAAAAACACAAGATTAACATTTGATTTGAGCAATTTAAACACTCAAATCAAATTGTCTTAGATACAAAAAAAGAAAAGAAAAAAACAATAATAGCATGCAATGGCAAAATACTAGTACTAGATAATAATAAGTAGTTACTACTAGCTAAAGCCTAACAAGAAAAAAAATAAATCACCATTGAGATGGACTTTGTAGAGGTTCAATATGTTCAAACATATCCAAAGGGAAGTCATCAATGAAGCTATCCGGAGTAAGTGGCTTCTCAATTTGTCTGTTCACATATGGTATTTCCACATTATCAAATCCATGTCCCAAAACATCAATGAAGTTAGGCATGATGGAAAATTCTTGATTTTCTAGTGGCAAAGCAAAGTCATCATCATGAGTTGGGATATGTGAAGATTCTATGATTCCAAGTTTCTTCTCATCATTAGGATTAGTAGTAGCACTCCTGATGTGAAGTTGATGATGCATAAGCATGTTTGGTTCAAAAGCAATTGAATTTGGAGTCATCACTAAATCTTCCAAGGGGACATGAACTTGGTTCATCATGTGGTCAGAGTTGTCAATATAGGATGATGAGCAAGATTGTGACTTGGACAATGATTCTTCATGTTCTTTTGATGAGCTCAATTTAGGTGCCTGATAAAAAAAAATACAAACAAAAATATGTTTTTACTTCGAATTACCAAACAAAAGTGAAAAATAAGGTCTTCAAATTGTATTCATGATCATATACAACTGCATTAGCATGCATTTTCAAATATCATTTTTTTTCAATTTGAAAACAAAAAATAATTTTTTTTCCAGATTTTACAATAATATATTGACAAACACGCAAATTGTACAATTTTTTTGTACTATCAAGTTAAGATGACCATAGAGATGAAGTAAATATATAATGTTACGGAAAATTGAAGGAAAGGTGCTCTTTTCCGTATATATTATGCTCTTCAACATTAAAAAAAAAATAGATAGAGGGGGAAAAAATGACAAGTGTTATTGTTTAGTCAATATGATAAGTTGTATAAATTTAATATTTTCCTAGTCTGAGAGCCCAACAGAAATACAAAAAGCACCCATGCTCGAGATCAAATAGAAAGAATGATAAACAAATTGAGGAATAATATAGTACCTCTAATATTAGTGGAGAAGCACAAGTTCGAGTGGTGTTATTTTGGGATGTTCGTAAAATCCTAGCCAACCTTTTCTGTCGACTACTCCAAAAATTCTTCACATCATTATCAGTTCGCCCCGATAAATATGTAGCAATTCTTGCCCATTTATTCCCAAATTGTCCTTGTAGTTCAATCACTGTCCTTTCTTCTTCTCCAGAAAATTTCACTCCACTTTTGACCAAAACAAGAATGAAAAGTTAGGTCTAATTAAAGAAATGTAAAAAATTGAGATAGTATTAAAGAATGTAGTAATTTACTTTTTTAAGTTAGGTCTAAGTTTATTGACCCAACGAAGACGACAAGATTTTCCAGTACGTTGCAAAAGGCCTTTGGATCGAATGGAGCTCCAATCTCTTGGACCATATTTCTTAACATGATTTATAAGCACTTCATCTTCTTCTTCTTTCCAAGATCCTTTCTTTATTTCATCAAAATCATCATCAAAATCATAACGATGATATGAACATGATGATCTTCTTCCTTGCATTATTGTTTTTTTTCTCTACTAATTAAACTTGATATTTCATGTTTTTATTTTAATGCTGATTTTATCTATTTCTTGAAACAGTGGCGGTTAAGGCGGTTATGGGCACTACCCCACACACCCCACGACTTACCCCATATTCCCCCCATTTCATGATTTCAAATATTAGTCAAGAGATTGTTTTTATTTTTACTATACGTAATTAAATATTGGTATAGTCCTTTTTTATTTTTCATAGGGAAATCAATCACGACTTACACTAAGATTCCTGGTTATTTTCGTAGACATTTAAATTGAATTCATAAGGAAAAAAATGTAATATTTTTATACAAAAAAATTAGAAAATTTCTCAAATGATATCATGCATTTTGTCAATGAGTTAGTTTGACATAAAATCACCAATATAAATAAAAATTTTCTTCTTCTTCAATTTGGGCGTAGGACACAAATATTTTAGTTTAGCACAAATGTACTCAACACACAAAAATTCTAATACCCAATTTCTCACTTTCACATATTGACCACAAGATTTGCTTGAGAAATATTATAATAACTAGTGAACTTAGCCGCGCTTTGCGCGATAAAAAATTATTCGTTAAATCTGCTAAATAATTAATTTTTTGAATAGTTGATTATTAAATATATTTCTAAAGATTCTTTATAGTCTTTAATCTAAATATATCAAATTTTAAGTCTTAATTAAGTTTATTATTAGTACTTAAATTTTATATCTTTTGTAATTTGAAATCGCTTAAGAATTTTTGAAATTATATAAAAAAAAATCCTAAATTTATTCTCTTTATTTTAATAAGAAAAGTAAATTTAATGTAATAAGTTGAACTCTTTATGAAATTTAAATTTAATTTAATAATATAATAAGTTTAATGTAAATATAGTTTTTTTCTAATATTTGTTCTTTTCCTTCAAAAGTATTATACTTTCCTTTAGTAATGATTTTTTTTTCATCTTTCACTAAATTTTAGATTATGAAATGTTTGTAAATCATCTTCTATCTTGACTAATTTTACTACGATTATAATATACTGCCATTATTTATATAAAAATGAATAGATTGAAAGATAAATAGTCTCAATTACGTAAATAACATAAAGTATTCAAATAAATTAAACCCAAATTATATATATGTATTAACTAAAATACAACTTTAAACTTACCTATATTTTAGTTATAATTTCTAAATTATTCTAAAAGGTAAACATAAATATAAATTGTGAAATTTCCTAATCCTCAAAATTGATTTCATTATTCAAAATAAAATATATACAATGTTGAAACCATTAAAAAAACCTTAAAAGATAATAAACAAAACGATTCAAGTCTTCAAAGTTAAAATTAATATACCTGAAATTTCAATAATATTATTTAGTGTAGGTATAAATTATAATTAGATAAATTAATCAAAGAATCCTTGTTAGAGTACCAAAGAAAATTAAAATAAATTAAAATTAAACAAATAAACAAAATAATCTTTGTAGGAATACCAAAGAAAATTATCCTAGCCTCTAATTATTCAATTTGTACACACTCTCAATGTTCACTACACCATTTGAAGATTAATGGACATAAACATTAATGTAGGGTTCCTTTTCCTTGTGAGTTTATGAAAGTTAAACTTAAATATTGTCATATGTTCATCTTGTCTTCCATTATAAATAATAAAGATTATTTAAAAAAAATGCGCAAAATAATAAGTACACTAAAATCATCAATAATGAGGAAAAAAGCAATAAAAACAAAACAAAAAAGAACAAAAAAAATATTGTAAATAAAAGACATCAAACAAAGTGAAATAAAAAGAGTAACATGAGTGAAATATTGTACTCATCAAAATTGAATTTGAATTTCCAAAATTGTCATATACTCGTCTACTCGTCCACACTGTTAAGTGTTAACAATAGAAGTTAGTCACAAAGAATATATATATATATATATATATATATATATATATATAAATAAATAAAATTAGACATAATCAAAGTGATGTACCTTGGCAACTCAAATTAGATATTGTTCTCATTGAATTTGAATTTCCAAAATTGTCAAATGCTCATCTTATCTTCCACATTGTAAAAGTTAGTAACAAATAAACAATATATTATAAAATTAGAAATAACCAAAGTGATGTACTTTAGTATAAATATGATAAAGAAAGGGAAAATAAAATAAAATTTTTTTGCATTAGTGAAGATGACATGGTTTTAGTATTTATAGTAATCCATAACTATTGAATAAATAAATTAAAAGAGTAATGGAGTAATCAATACCTACAATTGTAACTTATATTGGTCATTAGTGTCTTAATTATAATTTAGTAATACTTTTAAGAAGGAATAGGGAAAGGTTTAAATATTTAAAGGGATAAATTGTAACTTATATATACCTAAAATAATAAAGGTATTAATGGAGGAATTTAAAGAGAAATAATGAATAGAGGATATTTATTTAATTTAACTAATATATCAAGATAAAATTAAGAGAAAAAAAGGCTTTAAAAAAAGATAAAATATATAAATTCTAATGCTGGCCTATGAGGGGTGTCACATCAGCACTTTCATATCCAGATTTATATATATATATATATATATATATATATATATATATATATATATATATATATATAGATTTATGTCATCCGCTTAGTCACATTTATTTTTACTTAGGGTATTATCATTTCTTCGAATCTTCTTAAACATAGAGTGATACGATAACATAGTTTGTCACTAACAAACAATAATCATTTTGAGCTTAGCCATACCTAATTATTCACCGTAACCAAATATATCAACCTTCAAAGTAATCTCTTAATTAACTACACATTTTGGTCAAAAGGAAATGAACCACTCCAATACTTTTAGAACGTATGAAGTTTTAGGAATTCAATGCAGTTGATCTCATATAATTATTACTATTGGTAAATATAATATGGTATGAGTTACTATTTTTTGGTATATCATCCATAAATTCGAATTAAAAGTTTTTGAATAATGACATACCTTCAATTGTTTTTCCATAAGATTATAGTAAAATATCCTTAAGATTGTTGAAAATCTTACCAAAAATGCATTTTAGAAGAACACTCGATCATATGGAGTTCACCAAGACTTATACTTAACCATGAACTTTGTAGGAAATTCTTCAAGCATGAGGCGTGTCGAAAGACAATGTTCTTAAATATATCACACCCGGTATAGATATATCTCTAGGATTCATCAAACTCTTTTACTATAAAACAAGGAGCAAAAACTAACAAGGATTTACAACAAAACCTCATTGCACTAATATAATGTAGGAGGAATGATTTATTCTCAGAATGTATTGTTTTTTCAAATCTCATTGTGATAGATGAAGATCACATTAATATGTCAATTCCACAAGGCCTCCAAATGTGACGCCTCAAGCCTACATCCTGGACGTGGTCGACACCCAATAAACATTGATGGCCTTGAGCAGACCCTTATCCTGGCTTACACAACTCAGCGGAAGACTTAACTCAATGTAAAGAGAGAAACATTCTAATAAAATAACTTAAATAAATGTATTGTAAAAAATGACACTTAAATCTGAAAAATAAAACATCTTAAATGCAAGATAAAAGAAGACTCAAACTGAATTATCTGACTGACTATTTTTCTATGAAGCCTCTATAATACTAAGATGAATGTTGGGACACACCCCACAACATTCTATAAATGAAAAGACTGAAAAACAATAAAAGAATCCTCCAGAATGCAAAGAGGCTCACCACTGACTCTAAGTGCTCAAACTGGATCAACGAGGTGCTGAATGCTGATCTTGGTTACCTGTTTCAACATCATAAGACGATGCAGAAAATTGGCATCAGTACATTGAATATACTAGTATGCGATTTGGAATGATAAACAACAACTTCAGCTCGAAAAGAATAGGAAGAAACACTTACTCTTGGCTCTGGTCAAGTCATGAAATACCGAACTTAATATTAAGAAACAAGGACACATGCAATATATATATATATATATATATATATATATATATATATATATATATATATATTTAATCAAAATGCAATAACAAACTCAACTTCACTTATATATGAAATTAATATAGTTTCTGTGGGAGATTCTCTAACCGACAACCATCACTATGTGCCTAAGTGGTAGTACAATGTCTCGCCCACGCTTTCAAAACTGTCTTATACTTTGGCGTCGCATAGAACTCCTCAAATTAGTGGAACCAATAGCTTAACTTACGTGGTCATCTAAAAGTATGACATATTAATACCCATGATGGCTATATGGTTTACATAGAGAGTTGAATTGATATGAACTCTCATCCCACATCGGTGCTCAATACTACTCCAATATATACTTTAGCTCATGTGTTTTAAAACAACTTCTTTTTTGGGTTGAGATGATTGCTCAACACTTAGCTTTAAAAGCCCTCTTGGAATCGATATTCCCCTTTCTTGATCAAAGCTCTCTTGGAAACCTTGATTTCCTCTTAACTTAAACGTAAAAACATTTACAAACTTTTAGGGAATGCTTAGTTACCTTATAACTTTTGAGAAATGAATTCAACTCTTAGGGAACACTTAGTTCTCTTATTTTACTTTGAAGGGAGATCTTCAACTCTTTACTCTTTACTTAACTTGAAACTTGTTAAAACAAATTTAAAACGTTTAATACTGACTCTTGAAAAACCTTTAAGTACTTAACTTACTTCATAACTTTAGACTTGACACTTAACTCTTAAGACTTTGATCTTAACTTTCCTTGAAATGGATTATGGATTCAAGGTTATGATTTGCATTCTTTAGTTATTTCTTGGTGTTTAGAAATCATTTAAACTGATTTGAATCATTGGAAGGTTTTCATATACCTTAGAAGGATTTAAAAGGGCTAAACTACAAAAACTGGGCGAAAAATGCTGATCAAGGCGCATTGCGGCAGGCCTTAGTATTTAAGGCCAATTTCTGGCGTACTGCAAGCATGACCCGCTTGACCTTGGCCAGATGTGTCTGACAAATTTTTCAACTAGTTTTTCATATCCAAACCTCCCTAATTCTTTCACCAAATATTTGGGACTATTGGTACCCTTAATCCCACTCGATTTAGCTCAGAAACAACCCAGTTAAACAATAATCAACCAAAATAGGCAACCCACAATTCAATTAACGAGAATTCAACATTTTTTTCAAGAACTTCAATGTTTAATATATAAATAAATTA